GTGTGTATTCCGTGCAGAGGGCAAATGGGTGACACTGAACAGTGACAGAAGATGACCAAATCAGGCAGGATGGCTCGGGGCAGAGGACACCCTTCCGCTCATGCACCAGAAGCTACCTCTACCCGTTCAGGCATGAAGGCTCCCACCTCTCCTGCCCACTGCTGTCCTCACCAGCCCTGCCTGGTGAGCTCAACTTGCAGCCACTGCAAGTTTGGTCAGCTCTGTACTGACCAAATAGAGCATTTGGGACTGGAAGACCTCCTTTCAAAGCCCACCCTGGCCCAAGGGGGGTTCATACACACTTTGCAAGAGTTTATGAGTTGTGCAGGAGTCAGTGAGGGGTTTATCTCACTGAAAACGTGCAACCGAGAGCACAGTTTGTGGGGCCAGAGAGAGAGTAACCCAGCAGAGACCTCAGCTCTGGGTCCCGCCTGACCCCCGACCTCTCCTGTGGAGCTGGAGAGCCTCACTACAATTTTGTTTTTCTCCATGTTTTCCCATTTTTTTCTGTGCTTCTCAGGGCACACATGTAGAGTGAGGTGGACTTTGTGATGGTTTGGCAGCGTGGTCCTGGGAGTCTGTGGCACAGCCCTGCTCTGGGGGAAGGAGGAGGGTGTCTGAGCCTGTGCTGGCCATGCCTTGCTGCCAGCCCTCAGTCCGTGCTGCCCAAGCAAGAGTTGCATTGGTGCAGTGGATGTTTGCACAAGCTGCTTCTCCTCAGGCACCGCTCTGCCTGTCCGCAGGCATGGCCGAGGCTGTGGCCCTGGGGATTCACACGAAAGCAGTGGTCCGAGTCACGAGTGCTCAGTGTTTTGGTGGTACTATGGCCCCTTACCAATAACCTTCTCACCTGGGAATTGCAATCAGTTGTGTCTGAGAACCTGATAGTACCATGGGACATGGCTGCTGCAGCTGCTTTTGGCAGCAAGGGTAGTGAATGTCCCAGGCAGCCAAAGTGGTATTTGAAGCTAAATTTCTGTAGCATATTCAGGGTTTGGCATTCACAAAATATCCATCTCTAGCTAAGATTTGGGTGTTGTTCTTTCTGATTAGCCTCTCTTTCGCCATGATTTGTCACGGCATATTTTAGTCACGGCCTCTCCTCCCATCCTCCCTGACCCATGCAGTGATGGGAAGCCACAAGGATTGCTACAAATGATCCTACATGAATTCTTATCACCTTTTTCCCCTCCTGTGGCCTTGCCCTCCACCTCACGGGTAGCTACTTTGTGTTCCCTTGCCACTGTGCAACTGGCCAGCCCTCCCGTGAACAGGAGCAGTGGGGCAGGTCTCTCCTGGACTATAATTTCTTTGACATATTGGTGAGAGCAAGTGTGAGTGAAGTTCTGGCTGTGGTCATAGCTGGCAGAAAAGCATGCTCTCAGCAGAGGAAATTCTCACAATAAAGAGCCTACAAACCCCAGTTAGGTCCCGAAGTTACTAAAATTGGAAAAAAGAGCTTCTCCTTTCTTTACATACTGTATATGGCAGAAAATGAACATGAATTGGTGAGCACACAGGAGTGCCAATTCCTTCCTTCCAAATATAGGGAAGGGGCCGAGCTAAGGGAAGGGGCTGAGCCTATTTAAGCAGTCAGGTAGAAAGCCCTTGTTGGTGGCTCCTGATGCCCTGTCCATGCTCATGGCCATGCTGTGACCTGCAGAGTGTGGGAGGCTCCTGCCACAGGTGCTGTTCCCCATGCCTGGGGTTTCCCAAGGCTGTAGCACTGTGGTGGGAAATCTACCGTAAATTCCCCGCTGGACCATTCCTTGGGTAAGGAACAACTGGTGTCTGTGGTTTGCTTTGCTAGTCCTCAGCTGGACATAGTGCTCGCAGTAAGTCAGTGGGAGGTACTGGGTCTTTGGAGAGGCTGTAGCTCCACTGGAGTCTGACTTTTCACTTTTTCTCTTTCAGAGATCAGAAATGTCAGCTAGTTCCATCCTTCTTTCTGTTGACTGATTGTTAAGGTGAGAATTTAAGCCACGAAAACTAATAGCTTGCCCAGACTGGCATTAGCTGGCTCTTCCCTTGCACTCACTGTGGGCAGGTCCCCATTTTTCCCCCTGCATGAGCTGCTCTAACAGGCCATGGCACATGTCCATTCCTGCCGCGATGGCTGTCTACCAGAGGACTAGGACAGGCTCGCTGTTAAAAGGGAGTGGGGGAAATCATAAATGGAGAACTCAAAGAAAAACGGGCTCCAGGGATTCAGTCTTACTAAAGACAACGTGAGTCCTTCAGAGATACCTGTCCTTTGCCGCACTTCCCCAGGGAGCTCTCCTGTTCTTTCAGCCATGCGGTCCCCAACCCTTTCCTTGGGGCCATGAAGGGTGGCAGCTCTTCTTTGTTCCTTTGTACATTCCAGCTTTGAAAGGCAAGTATTTCCCTCAAGACCTTGCAGCATGCATCCAAGAGATGGGAAGGGTGCTCTCAGAGCATCCAGCTTGGGAGAGCAGGTGGACGTTCAGCTCCACTCTGCTTGACTCTAAGGACAGCACCACAGCAGGGTCTGTCTTTCAGCTTCAGGCATGAGCAGAGACGCTGTCATGGAAGTTTTTGGTGAGGCTGCACCATACCTTCGCAAATCAGAGAAGGAGAGAATAGAAGCTCAGAACCAGCCATTTGATGCCAAGACCTACTGCTTTGTGGCTGACCCCGAGGTGGAGTACACCAAAGGGAAGATCAAGGCTGCACAGGATGGGAAGATAACTGTTGAGACAGAGGATGGCAGGGTAAGTGGGTTCCTCCTGGCCCTCCTCCCTGCCCAGGATGGCAAGGAACACAGAAAGACCTAGACTAGCTCAGGTGAGAAATCTGCACTGCCCAGTGTCTGTCCTGCCCTCTGACTGGGATCAACCCAGCCTCCAGAGGAAGGCATTGCTCTGGATGCTGGGATGAAGGTATCCGTTGGGTAATAACTCTTGGTTTAGGCTTTAAAGACCAGGAAATACTCTGGTACAGGTTGGGTTGTAGCCTTGCCAGTTTTAGTATTCCTCAACCTTTGCTTCTAACTCTTTCTCATCTAACACTGTCATATCCACCGATAAATTCCTTCCTTTACTGGTGGCAGAGCAGGAAGCCACTTTGAAAGTCCCCTTTGCATGTGAAATTCTTCTCAGTGTCACTGGCTGTGAACAGTTTCCTAAAAGAGCCTCCCAGATGTTCATCTTGCAAAAACACTGCAATGTCTTATCAGCTTTTGTCAGAATAGCTGCAACAGCCCAAAGAACTACCTCAACCCAACATCTTGACTGTAGGTGCTACCAAATTATTAAGAATAAAGCAAATAAAGATTAAAGCAGTCGTCATTGGCTCAGCCCTGGCCTCCAGCAGTCCCAGGTGTGTGATGAGCAGATGCTGCAGCAGACTGCTCTGTGCAAGGGTCTGCCTTTCTCAGGGCCAGCTTTTTTACATCCATTTGAGCTTTTTGGCGCTGTAGTGTCCTGTGGGAAAGATTTCCACAGTTTAAAATTGGAGTCTGTCTAGAGTGTTTCCTTTTTCTGCAATATGCAGCCTGGTAATTTCTGCTTATTTTTTCATAAGGAGTAAAAATGAGTAATGCTTCCTTGCTCTGCCATTCCTGACTTTGCAAACTTGAAAAGTATCTCCTTTTCACCCCCAAATCCCAATTGAGTTATGCTATCCTCATAGAAAAGCTGTTTCATACCTGTGACCTTCTTTGTTTCTCTATATATCGTGATCAGTAATGAAGGTGTTAATGAACTGTCAGACACATACCACATAAAACTCTTCTACCTTTCTTTTCTAATAATTCCTACTATTCTAGAGCTTCCTGCCCTCTTCTGAGCATTGACGTTATGATCGAAAACTCTGTAGTGACTCCCATATATGTCCTGTGAGTGGAAGTTAATGCACGATCTCTTATTCTATGCAGAGACTTCCTGTGAATCCTAATGACTCAAGTGTTTAGACTTTAGAAAGGTATTTCTTTAGAAAGGTAAAGAACACTTTAGAAAGGTATTTAGGGACACATATCACAAAGCTACTTTTGAAAACTGTGGCTGTAATTCTTGCTTTGTCAAAAAAAGGCCAAGATCATTCCACTAGCCAGGACCTGATCTTGGAAATGGTGTCAATCTTTCCAAATCAAATATGATTGCAGTAACACTACTTCCTCCTTGGATTGGACTAGTCAGCTTGGACCAGTCCACGGGAGCAGCAGTTACAGCATAAAAGCAACAGATAAAAACAATGGGAAAAGCCACCTGGAGAAGTGATGTCCTGGTTTGAGGTAAAACAGAACTAATTTTCTGTTCAGTAATTTTACTTTTTGAGCTAGGCCTCTTCTGACTAACTAAACTCTGAAATTAACAGCATATTGTTCAGAAACTGTTCACTCTTACAGTGATAAGACCTGATTATACCAAGGAATGGTATGCAGAGAGGCCCCTGCTTATACTTATTGCTATAACAACCAAGGTCAGGTAAATTTGTTATTTGCCCCATTGGAGGGTCGGAAGCAGAAAAGCGTAGAGGGGTCCCACCTGTAGGGAGGAACGGACAGGACAGGTGACCCAAACCTGACCAACAGGGTATTCCATCCCATCCGCATCATGCTCAGTATAAAAGCTGAGGGATCAAAGGGTCAGCTCTCTTCCTTCAATGGCCGACGTCCGAGGAGGACCCTGTCTGTTCGTCTGCCTTTGATCCCGATCCGAGCGCTCCTGACTCCAGATCTGGAATCTGGCTCCTGTCCATCCCTGAGTCCGGTCTGGGACTTTCCCCTGTGCGCCGGCCGGTGACGTGATCGTCATGCTGGGAGCTTGATACGGTTTTGTATATACTGTATACATTTGTATTTTATTTTACTTTTTTTTTCTCTTTCCTTTTTTTTTCTTATTTCATTATTTATTTATATTTTTATTAAAGTAGTTTAGTTTTTTTTTTAAACTCATAGTTTTTTTTATCTCCCTCTTCCTCTCCTCTCTTTTCCTTGTGGGGGGGGAGGGGCCATCTGTCATTCTGGTTGGTCAATTTGGTCAAAACCACGACAAGTGACTACGGGATTTTCATGTTACTTCATGGTTCAGTGTGGCCAAGATAAGCTGCTGCCATCTGTGTACATCTGCTTTCCTTCACATCTGCCCCCTCAGCACACCCACAGGCTCTGGCTGTGTGACAGGGCACTCATCCACAGCATTAGACCAGTAGACGGTGCCATTTGGTAGGGCAAGAGCCTTTGTTTAATTAGGAATGGCAACAGGCCAGAGTGGAACAAATCTGTTCTAAGGAAAGACTTGCTGCTGCTGAATCTCATGCCGTTAGTGTCTGTCATCTCCGGCATCGCGCGATGTGAGTCTCAGAGCATGAAAGGTTCTCAGCCAGCAGTTGTGAGCCCAGCAGTTACAGCCATGAGCAGCAGCCACCTGAAGTTCATAAGCAGCAGTAATGTGAAGAAAGATCTGTTCAGCACAGACTCTGCCTGTGTGGTTGTGGCAATTCCAGGACAGTAAGTTTACATCCTGTAAATTTGTCAGTGTTGTAGAGTTCCCAGCTGGCAGCAGTATCTGCCCTGTAATAGCCATATCTTGTTTTACACAGTTTAATGAAAGAAAAATATGAATTCGAGAAGTCTTACAAATGTTATTACTTCTCTGTGTTTGTGTCTCTGTATAAACATGGAAGGAGCATCAAGAGTTGCTGAATCAAGGTTAACTCTTTCTTTCTGAATTGTAGACGCTTGCTGTCAGACCTGAGGATGTATATGCCATGAACCCACCTAAGTTTGACAGAATTGAGGATGTGGCCATGTTGACCCATCTGCATGAACCTGCTGTCCTCTACAACCTCAAGGACCGCTACAGCTCCTGGATGATCTATGTAAGTTCCCTCTTACAGCAAAGAAGAAAATCCAGCTGCTAGGAGATGACTTCAGTGACTCTTCTGTTCTGTTTTTTTTCCTGCAGACCTACTCGGGTCTCTTCTGCGTCACTGTCAACCCCTACAAGTGGCTGCCGGTGTACAACCCGGAGGTGGTGTTGGCCTACCGAGGCAAGAAGCGCCAGGAGGCCCCTCCACACATCTTCTCCATCTCTGACAACGCCTATCAGTTCATGTTAAATGGTGAGCTTTTCTTTTTTGACTGGACTCATAGAAAAAAACTGCTTCAGAAACACTGCTTCTACCAAATGCCTTTCCTTATCTGCCACACACTCAGTTGCCTTTGCCAGCTCTTACAGTGTGCTGCCCTAATTCCTTGTTCTGTGTCGTGTTGCCGATTATCTGCTTAGGCTCCCAACTATTATGCTATGGAACTAGATGTGCCTATTTTATCGTTAGATGATGCAAAACCCTCTCAAGACAGTTTTCCCTGTCTCCTGAAATGGGTTTTTTATTTTTTAAATGCTGTACTGTTGTTCTGCACATTATCTGTGTTTCTGGTCTAAGTACCAAGCTAAGCACTGTAATGGCAACCACTGCAGAGGGTAGTTGCAGTTGGATAGGATGCGCTATCGGGAGGTCCCTAGTCAGCACACCAGCACATGGCTTCAAGCAACAGCAGGTAGGTTCAGAACAGAGCTGGAAGAAATATTTTCACCAAAATACGTGTATTTATTTTGAATCAAGACCTGTCTTGTATTAAATAGTACTAAAGGCAAAGAAAGGTAAAGACAGAAGCAAAGAGGAGAGTGCAGGATGGAGGAAAGGTGAAGGAGAGAAGACAAAAAGTGGAGTACAGGGAGGGGAAGAGAGAAGAAGAAAAAGACCATGCATCTTTTCAGTTTTGCTTGCAGAGATTTTGTTTCTTTCCCTCTGATGGGCACTAGGTCATGGGTTTCCTGAGAAGCAGCACTTTTCCCCCCAGCTTTTCTGACTGCAGTTATTTTTCTCTTTGACAGATCGTGAAAATCAGTCTGTCCTAATCACGTAAGTACATCTGGCACTTTGAGCTTTGTCTCCAACAAAAAGTGGGCAGATAATTCTTCTGTGTTTTCTTTTGACAGTGGAGAATCCGGTGCAGGGAAGACAGTGAACACGAAGCGTGTCATACAGTACTTTGCAACAATTGCAGCAAGTGGGGACATAGCCAAGAAGAAGGAGTCCTGGATAAAGGTGTGAGGAAGGAAGTCTTGGTAGAGAGGCAGTTCGGGATGTTACCGACTTTTGGCTGCAGACAGCACTGGTGACAAACATTTACCTCAAAATATGAAGTATCTTTTATTAGCTTCAGCCACTCCCTCAAAGGCAAGTAAGGCAGGGACTGATATGCAGTTAGGACCACAGCAAATACCAGAGCTGCCACGGTCACTGCCCAGGTGTAGCTTTATCTGGACTGAGACCAGGCCTGGGAGTTTGGTGTTCTGGAAGAATCAGATGCTCCAGTTTCCTCACATGAGGAGTCTGTCCCTGTGGCTGAGAGATGAGAGTGGGAAAAATTCTGAAAAAGAGCAAAATTAATTATTTACACATACTGGTGGTTCTTGGCACTACAGTTGAGAAGATGCCATGGTAACGCTGTACCGCTGAAATGGAGGGCACGTAGTTGCACATGTAATCAGGCAAGCCACAGCGGAGTAACTTTTTCCTACCACATAGTCCATGGTGCTTTTCAGTAATTATTCAAATATTCTTGCAGGGTACACTTGAGGATCAAATCATCAGCGCTAACCCACTGCTGGAGGCCTTCGGGAATGCCAAGACTGTGAGAAATGACAACTCCTCGCGCTTTGTGAGTTGTCATTTTTCTCTCTGCCCTCCTGCATTTCTAAGCCTGTTTGCCTGCTTCTTACTTGCAACTGGGAGTCACTGGGCTGGGAGAAATGTTCTCGCTAACAAATTTCTTGGTTGGTTGTCAGATACTGATGTGTTTACAGCTCATGCTCATAGCTGTGTGGGCAGCAACAAACTCTTTCCCTTTATCCATCTTTGAATATCTAAGATAATTCAGTCTGATTTGGAGATTCTCTCACTGGGATTGAAGACAGAATCACTCTGGCATGTTAACCTGAGAATCCTGTGCTGACAACTACCTTTTGTCTGCTTCCCAGGGTAAATTCATTCGTATTCATTTTGGTACTTCTGGAAAACTGGCCTCTGGTGACATTGAGACGTGTGAGTAAATGAGGGAGACTTACTGCTTTCCTGTAAAGTAAAAAAGAGCTTGAAAAATTTGTATGTTCATACATATTACAGACTTGCTGGAAAAATCAAGAGTCACATTCCAGCTGAAAGCTGAGAGAAGCTACCACATCTTCTACCAGATCCTCTCTAATAAGAAGCCTGAACTGCTTGGTAAGGACTGTCATCACCTGGTGATATTTTACAGTATAATCAATATGGGAAACTTTTCCCAAAAAATGTCAGCTCAGTGACAGAAGGTCTGTCACACCTTGTGTCCCAGGCATCCAGCTTCCCCTTTTGGCAGATGCCGCAGGCTGTGCAAAGCACTGAAGCTTTGATCATATGTTTATTTATGTCATACACATTCCAACATCAGTGATGACTGGGCAACCATAGCTGTACACAGCACTTTTATCTCTGTATAATAGTGTTGCACTAGGGTTTACTTCACCTCCAATTTATCTTTCTGGGTAAGTTCTAACGCAAACTTTACAGGCTGGGGGTGGGTGGCAACTTTACTCTGCCTTAGACCTTGCGTTTCCTGCTGGTGTGGAAAGTCCAACTTATGTGGGCCAGATCCTGTGAATAATCTTCAGTAGAAAGGTAAGAAATTCCATGGTTGCAGGATGGCCAGATACCCTGATCTACAAACCATTTATCTGAACTCTTCACCATATGGGCAAAAGTTCTCCCCCCTTCTCAGCATAGCCCCTCCAGCCTTTCCCCCAATCCCACACCCATGGCATACCCTCCCCGTGCCCGCATCTGTCCCAAACCCTTTTGCAACACAACTACTGCACTCATCCTCACCTCACTCTGCCCATCCCTCCCAACTGCCCACTGAGCATTTCCCAAGGTGGACCTCCGAGCCCCACTCTCCCTCTTTGTGCCCTGCCAACATTTAACGTCTCTCTCTTCCCTTCCCAGAACCTGCCGTGTGCCAGGGGACTGCCTGCCTATGCAAGGACACAGGCTGATTTATCTTCAGTGTATGGAGGGCTTTCTCTCCTGCACCCTGCACAACCCCACTGCACATCCGCACACCTTCACTTCTCCTCTTACTCTGCCGTAGGATTCAGGACTGAAAATGAGTTGTTAATTTTGGCCTCAATTAGGTGGAGATAAATGCATGTGTTTGCATTACTTATGTGCAGAAGCACACAACTCCAATGGGTGCAAGGGACATTCAGGATGGGTTAATATATGTCATGTATGAGGATAAGCACATGAACTCTTACCTAAAAGTATCTTATTCTTAAAAGCTGTTTCTTTGGATGGCTCTTCTTCCTTGTCTGCCAGTGCTGAACGTTCAGCTCCCAGTTCAGAGCATATTGAACTGGTAAGACCAAGAACCTGTCCGGGACTTTCTGCTTATCCAGGGGAAGGCAGATGAATGGCTTTACTCAGTCTTTCTTGTCCTTTAATAGAAAACCATGGATTTGGGGATACGAAAGGAAAAAGAGCCTGTGAAACCTTGCTGAGCCACTGTTTCATTTCACTGCCAGAGTCTGGCTCTCACTCCTTTGTTTGCCTTTCAGAGATGCTTCTCATCACAGCCAACCCGTATGACTACCCCTTCATCAGCCAAGGGGAGATTTCTGTGGCCAGCATTGATGACCAGGAGGAGCTTATTTCCACAGATGTGAGTACACTTAGCAAGGAGAGACAGTATCACTTTTATCATCACCACCATTATAATCAGTGGGTCCATCTGGTGCGCAGGCAGCCATCGACACTTTGGGCTTCAGCCCTGATGAGAGAGTGGGGATTTACAAACTGACAGGGGCAATTCTGCACTACGGGAACATGAAGTTCAAGCAGAAACCACGTGAGGAGCAGGCAGAGCCAGATGGCACAGAAGGTAATGTCTTCATGGCTTGGAGTGATGCACTCCCAACTGTTTTCATACCATTTTTCACTAGATATACAAAGAGTCTTCCAGGAAAGAAGCAGTTGTTCCTTGATAAACATAAAAAGGAGGTTCAACCTTCAACTTACCACCTCCTGTAGAGTCACTTTCTGCATCCACTTTACCACTTTATTCCTGATGGCTCTGCTGAACCACCTTCTGCCTGGGCCACATTACCGTAGTGTTCACCAGTTTCTGGTAACATGTCCAGATTTGTTCTAGTTGGGTGACATTGTGGAGAAGTGAATTGAAGGGAAAAAACACTCCGTTGTCTCATCACCAGTGCACTCACTGGCTTTACCGCACTGTTGCGGCTGCTGAAGCCACTCAATCATGAGGACCAGGCCTACCATTTACTTGGAAAAGTAAATGAGAATGTTGGGGAAGCTTTGTGGATTGGGTAAAACCAACAAGTTTGCCAGGTTTCAGAGTGAGCTCTGGCTGGCTCCAATGCATTCTGTCTGTCCCAGCTAAGAAGAAAGTCTTTCGGTTTTTTTATTTTTTTCTTCTACAGAGGCTGACAAAGCAGCATATTTGATGGGCCTGAACTCAGCAGACTTGCTGAAAGCTTTGTGCTACCCCCGGGTGAAAGTGGGAAATGAGTATGTCATGAAAGGCCAAACAGCGGATCAGGTGAGTGTCAGGGAATGGCAGGGACTGGACTGTCCTCTCCTTAGTGGACAGGAGGGGGTGCAGGTCAAAACCTAGCATGGTCAGGACTATTAAGGCCTATTAATGCCCTTTGTGGGCTGGCAGTATCTGTGCATGGTGGAGGGGTTTTATTCTGGTGACGCACTAGCAGTGCCCTGACAAAGCTGTGTGAACCATCTCCCTGCAGGTGCACCAGGCAGTGAATGCCATTTCCAAGTCAGTCTACGAAAAACTCTTCTTGTGGATGGTGATGCGCATCAACCAACAGCTGGATACAAAGCTGCCAAGACAGCACTTTATTGGAGTCTTAGACATTGCTGGCTTTGAGATTTTTGAGGTTTGGTTTTACATAGCACTCAGACTTCCGGCTGTCTTTAAGTGCTTTTTTCCCTTTGGTTGACTTTTCTCCTTACCCTCAGGCAGCCCTCAAGAACAGGGCTAAACTCTCTGAAACTGCTTCTGCCTTTGTAGATCCAACAACCACTTTGTAAGAGGAAAGAAATGGCAGAAGCATAGCCATGAAGCTTCTGTCTCCCTCCCCATAGAATCTGTATTTAGTGACATTAGGATCACCCAAAAACATCACTACATCAGCCATGTGCTGCACAGTGCAACTTTTCCATAAGCCTCAACCACCCATGACATATCCTTTGTGCTATTATCAAAACGTTTCAGGGATAGTCTGGCTGGCCTTGCCTTGACATCTGTATAAAATAAATTGATTTGAGTCAGTTTAACAATATTAACACATTTACTCAAATATTAGTTCAACAGCTTTGAGCAGCTGTGCATCAACTTCACCAATGAGAAACTGCAACAGTTCTTCAACCACCACATGTTCGTGCTGGAGCAGGAGGAGTACAAGAAGGAAGGAATTGAATGGGAGTTCATTGACTTTGGGATGGACCTGGCTGCCTGCATTGAGCTCATTGAGAAAGTGAGTTTCTTCGACAACTTGTGCAATCACACAAATCAGATCTGGAAGGGGTTCTTGCGAGTGTCTGCACTGAGCTCCTTCCGTACATGCTCTCTGTGAAGCTTCCAGGACTCCTTAGCTCCCCCTTTCCTTTAAACATAACCCTTGCGATTAGTTATCCAGTGACTGGAAATGTATTCTGTCTTGTAAAAAGACATTGTTTTTATTTCTCTATTCTGTCTTTCTCTCTTCCAAATCATTATAGATCATCATTTAATTGTCATATTTACCCCAGTTGTATTCTGGATTTGCATATTGGTTCCTCCTCAGATTTTCCTCTCAATTAAATTCAAATGCCTCATGACTGCTTGCTTTTAACTCCTTTTGCATAAGGAGAAGTCACTACTGTATTCCAAGAAGTTACTGTACAGTTTTTGCTTGGCTTGCTTTGTTTTCCAGCCATTGTCTAGGTAGTTCAAAATCATGTTTATGAAAATCTTGTGCTTTTAAGTATCTTGCCAGCACAAAGTCTTGCTTACCTGCTCCTCCCAAGATAATTCTCTATAAAATATGTCCAGTACTTTAATTTCAGCATTTCTTTCAGTCCGCATTATTATAACTTGAATTAATCTCATTTGATAACAATTTTTTTCCCTTCAGCCCATGGGCATCTTCTCCATCCTGGAAGAGGAGTGCATGTTCCCCAAGGCAACTGACACCTCTTTCAAGAACAAGCTCTATGATCAGCATCTGGGCAAGTCCAGCAACTTCCAGAAGCCCAAACCTACCAAAGGCAAGGCTGAGGCCCACTTCTCCCTGGTGCACTATGCTGGGACGGTGGACTACAACGTCACTGGTTGGCTGGAGAAGAACAAGGACCCCCTGAACGAAACTGTTGTGGGGCTGTACCAGAAATCACCTATGAAAATTTTATGCAATCTTTATGCCAACTTTGTTTCTATAGATGAAGGTAAGATCAGAGAATTATGTCTCCTGTCTGGTGTTTCCATCTGTACCTATCACCTGACTGGAATCGGTGTTGCGTCAGTGTTCATGCTCTATGTATCAGATACACAATTATAATGCTGCGAAAGGGATCTACAGCGGAACCTCAGTTGGACTGTCATTTTATTTTCCAGCTGAAGGTGGTGGTATTAAGAAGAAAGGAACCAAGAAAAAGGGTTCTTCCTTCCAGACTGTCTCTGTACTCTTCCGGGTAGGTGTGTTCTCTGGCACTGCATGGGCCAGCTGCAGAAAATGCCAAGAAGGTGGTCCTGACAGACCTGCCTGCACTAGTTCACCATTCCCAACACTTTGTTGCCATACCATACTGTGGAAATTTACCTTTGGGATCCAGTAAAAATTAATTTGATTTGTGCTTTGCTGATATGGTCCGAAGGGATGATGGTGGAGAAGGGAAGTCATGTTCCCAAAGACTTTCTTGGTTTTTACCTTTGGTTCTCCCAGCATCCGTCCCTTATTTGGCTGCAATTGGCTGCGTCCAGGATGTGTCTTGCTGAATACAGGGATTTGTGTGGCAACTCGTGCCTTGTGGTCACACAAATTATGTGTTGCAGCCCCTTGATGCTGAGGTCACAAATCTATATCCTGGGGCCAGTAACAGGCACAACCCTTCCTGGCAGATTGAGGAGTGCAGCATCTATCTGGCTGTGACGTTGGCTTTACTCACTATGCATGTCATTATTGCATGGGATGATTCAAGAAATGCAGTATTAACAAAAGACATGCTGCAGAGCGGGTGACTTCTGATGTCATAAACAAACATTGAGTTTGTGGCTCAATTATCTTTTAAATACACATAGCTAGTACATCTAAATAATAAAAACAACAAATCAACCCATTCATTCATTTGATCAAGAAAGACAAGAATATTGTTCGTTTCTTTCCATCCTCATCCTGTTTAATAGCTCTTGTGATTAGCTTCTAACTGTTAAGGTAATTTTAAGACTGGAGGAAAGTTTATCAATTGTGTCCACTGATAATAGCTATTTACTTTGCTGATGCCTATGCAGGATTGTAGAATATTCACTAGAGGAGTAAGGAAAGACTTCGGAATATTTTTTTTCATCAGAGACAAATCATATTGAGCATATTTGCATTGTCTTGAAGTAATACAGAGATTGCAAATGATTTCTTTTTTACAGGAAAATCTAAATAAGCTGATGTCCAACTTGCGAACAACTCATCCTCATTTTGTGCGTTGTATCATTCCCAATGAAACAAAGACCCCAGGTAATTCCCAAAACACAGAGCAGAAATTGGCAGAAAGACCAATTGACCAATGCTAGAAAGACCAATATATCCCCATGTTGCACTGTCATAGGCCTGATGGATCACAAGCTTGTTCTGCACCAGCTGAGATGTAACGGTGTTCTGGAAGGCATTCGAATCTGCAGGAAAGGATTTCCTAACAAGATATTGTATGGAGATTTTAAACAAAGGTCTGTAATAACATTCTTGTGTTTGCTTCGAGCCCAATTCATTTGAAAAAAGAGTCTTACTAAACAAGTCAATGGTATAGTTCTTAGGAAAAGGCTATTTTAATATTTAACAAATATGGAAAGTATGAAGACATATCTAATAGCAGGGGCTGTGTGGGCAGTGCCTTCCTGAATATCATATGCCAAAAGGTATTTTCACTTCATTCATGCTCATCTGAGTATTTGGGTATTCTTGCTTAAATTCTCAAATTTGACACAAACATGTTTCAGTAAAAATATGGAGGGTGGTCTATACCGCATCCTATATTTAACCTATATCTAGCATCTATATTAACCTATATCTAGCAGAATTTTGAAGTGTGTTATTTAAATAGTTCTAACTAGAATGGTTTTACTGAAAGGAAATTGTGTTAAACCTGATACCACTTTTCTGATGAAATGACAAGCTTTACTAGCAAATGTCATTAACAAAAGAGACTTCAGCAGGACATTTATATTAGCTCCACATGGCACTCTGATTTTGTACAGGGCTAACATTTCTACACGGTAACATTTCTACAGCACCTTAGCTACATTGAATTATAGATTGAAAAAAATCCCAATTTTTACTCAGGAATTTCCATGCAAATAGGACATTTGTAAAGGGTTGCTAAATTTAGGGCAACCCAGCTGGGGTCATCCAGATGTTGTGTTTGAACAAAGGCAAATGAAGGGTCAGATCTCTAAGAATGAAGAAAGCCCAGCACACTGACTGCACTGCACAGGGTGTCCTGGAGAGCGGGGACACTGAAAAGGGAGAAGTGGCATTTTGGGCACTCACTGAAGAAGTGATGTGTGTGGGCAGGTTTGTATGTGGGCAAACAGAGGCATGCTGAAAAGGATAGGAGGTGGAATAGGGGGTCTCTTAGTTCTAGTTCTGGTTTGCTTACTTCAGGAGGAAAGTGAGAAGCTGGAGCTAGTTCAGAAAAGAGCTACAGAATAAATGTGAACTTAATTGCAGTGAGAGATTTTAATCAAACTATTTAACTCATGAGCCTGTGTGTTAAGAGATGATTTATTTGTGGTGTAGAGAACCTACAGGTGTAAAGATTTCTGAATATGCAGGAACCTGTCATTTAAAAGACAGACTCAAAGCAGGTCCAAGGGTGGGACCTGAAAAAGGATGTTGTTAAAATAGAAGTGAAGTATACCTGTCCTACAGTGAGAGTGAATAGCTTACCTGGGAGACTCTCAAAGTTTGAAGGCTTCAAATAAGACTGAAATGTCTTCTTTAAAAGAAAAATGTACTAGATTAATTACAAAATGGGGGGTGGATGAACAAGGGACTGAGGGGACTGTGTACCTGTGTTGTACAGGAGGTCAGATTAAGTAATTGTAGTAGTCCCTGTGTTCTTAAAACCCATTATTTTTTTTGAATTTACAGCTAACCCAGTGAGCTTCCCCCCCACCTAGATTAGTGTAAATGACTGTGGCTCAGATGAGCAGAGTCTCTCAGGTCCAGAGAACAGACCGTCCATGCCCTCAGTCTCAGCAAGAGCGGTAACATGTGCTGGAAACCTACTAAACTGACCTGCTGCTCGCTGTTTAAGGCTGGAGGTGTGAGTCAGACTCAGCCTTCCTCTGTGCCTTCAAAGTGACAGCTGTTCTTGTAGCATCCTGTGTGCTCAAATGATACCCACAGTTAAGCTTTTCTTCCTTTATTTTGTCAGATACCGCCTTCTGAACCCTAGTGACATTCCAGAAGGACAGTTTATTGATAGTAAGAAGGCGTGTGAAAAGTTGCTGTCTTCCATTGAAATAGATCATACTCAGTACAAACTTGGACACACTAAGGTAAGCATTTCATTTTTGCACACAATTTAAAATCATTCGTTGCATTAAAATATAAGCCCAAGGATGACTGAACTCTGTTCTTTGATTGCAGGTGTTTTTCAAGGCAGGTTTGCTAGGTGTCCTGGAAGAGATGCGAGATGATTGCTTAGGACAACTAATCACGCGGACACAGGCTTTATGCAGGGGATACCTCAGGAGACTTGAATTGAAAAGAATGTTTGACCGAAGGTGTGTGTTTTCTGCAAGGTCCGGTGTCTCAAAGATGTGCTTTTTTCACAGTACTAATGGATTGCTGTGATTTCAGGGAGTCCATCTTCTGCATCCAGTACAACATTCGTGCATTCATGAACGTCAAGCACTGGTCCTGGATGAAGCTGTACTTCAAGATAAAACCCCTCTTAAAAAGCGTGGAAACTGAGAAAGAAATGGCTGTGATGAAGGAAGAGTTTCAGAGAATGAAAGAAGAACTGGCTAAATCAGAAACCAGGAGAAAAGAACTGGAAGAAAAAATGGTGACTCTGGTGCGAGAGAAAAAGGACCTGCAGCTGCAAGTACAGACTGTACGTAATTTAAAACTGGTTTTGGATTGTCAGATTACATCAGTTTTGTCTGATCAGTTTTGTTCAGGAAAGGGCTGAATGGAAATTCTTTTATTTCATGTTCCAATTGCATAATGAGCAGGTCATTTCTGCAAGTGTCAGTTCCAATGTGTGACAATGAAACACATTTCTGTTTTCTATAAAAAGGAAAATGAAAATTTGGCTGATGCTGAAGAAAGATGTGACCAGATGATCAAAGCAAAATTCCAGCTGGAGGCAAGAATAAAGGAAGTAATGGAAAAATTGGAGGATGAAGAGGAGATAAATGCCGATCTGGCAGCCAGGAAGAGGAAACTGGAGGATGAATGCTCTGAGCTGAAGAAAGATATTGATGACCTTGAGTTAACATTGGCCAAGGCTGAAAAGGAAAAGCACGCCACAGAAAACAAGGTACTTTTGATTTCTGCTATTTGCATGTTTAGTAATAGTTGTTCTGTCTATATATAGGATATAAAGGTGCAGTCAACTTGAACAATAACATGATGTTATATAAGGAAATCTATGGACCAATGTAGTTACATTTGGTCACCTCTATAGTGCAGGAAAACCAACACATAAGCATACAAAATGCATTAAAATGAAAGTTCAGAATTGCTTTGTAGCTTCAGAAGGGTTGATACATAATAGAGAGATTGTATTATTTGACCATATAATGCAACTAATTAAGTCTCTTTGGTAGATCTGGCAACATGCTTATTGCCTTTGTGTGATCACTAACCTATACAAACACCAAAGTTATTAGAGACTTTCAAGTATATTGCTTTAAAACAGGTCAAAAATCTAACTGAAGAAATGACAGGTTTGGATGAGACTATTGTGAAGTTAGTCAAGGAGAAGAAGGCCCTGCAAGAAGCCCACCAGCAGGCACTGGATGACCTGCAAATTGAGGAGGACAAAGTTAATACCCTCACCAAAGCCAGGATCAAGCTGGAGCAACAAGTGAACCACGTGAGCATGATCAACACAAAGAAAAGTGGCAGACTCTTCAGTTGTTCTGTCAGTCATTTTTATATATGTTTATGTTACAGGTTGAAGGATCTTTAGAACAGGAAAGAAAAGTTTGTATGGATCTTGAAAGAGCAAAGCGAAAGCTTGAGGGAGACTTGAAACTTGCGCAGGAAACCATAGTGGATCTGGAGAATGATAAACAACGTTTAGACGAAAAATTAAGGAAGTATGAAGAAAAACAAAATAAGTGGCAAATTTAATATTTCTTTTTATTGGACATATTTTCTTTTTATTAAAAGAACATTTCCTTTACAGGAAAGACTTTGAATTTAACCAAATGCAAAATAAAATTGAGGAACACCAGAGTTTGAATATTCAATTCCAGAAGAAGATCAGAGAATTGCAGGCAAGAGGATTTCTGTAACTACCTCATTTATTTTTACCATTTGCTTGTTTAAACTGTAGCTGCATGATAATGCTTGTCCGCAGTTGGTCACTGATACAATGTTTGATCCAGTCACAGTAATTCACTCAATAGGTTGTAATAATTTTCTCCACACAACTGACAGCTGTGATCTAAAGGTAGTATGAGTTGATTGATAGGTCTTTTCCTGTTGGTAAGCCTTCGCCTAAAAAGGCAAAAGAGTAAAATTGAAAGGAACTTTGTTTTGCTTATATTCTCCAGAACAACGGGTTTGGTATTCTCTATGGCAATTGTGCATTAACCTAAGCATTGAGTTATCTGTCCCCTTATTGATTCCTGCTGCGCTATTCTCTCATTATACAGGCCCGTGTTGCAGAGCTGGAAGAGGAGACCATGAGTGAGAAAGCGATGCGGGCAAAAGCAGAGAAGCACTGTAATGAGCTGGCTCGTGAACTCGAGGAAATCAGTGGAAGACTTGAAGAGGCTGGGGGAGCCACCACTGCTCAAACTGCAATGAACAAGAAGCGTGAGGCAGAATTTCAGAAGATGCGTCGCGACCTCGAAGAGGCCACGCTGCAGCACGAAGCCACGGCTGCCGCCCTGCGGAAGAAGCACGCGGACAGCACGGCCGAGCTCGGGGAGCAGATCGACAACCTGCAGCGAGTGAAGCAGAAGCTGGAGAAGGAGAAGAGTGAGCTGAAGATGGAGATCGACGACTTGGCCAGTAGTACAGAGACCATTACTAAGTCCAAGGTGTTTCTTTATAAGTGAAATACTTGAATTGGCAATATTTCTCTCTGGTGGGAATTTAATGCAATACAAACACGCATACAAAGATTCCACTTTCTTACTCTCTTTCAGACTAATCTGGAAAAAATGTACCACACCCTAGAAGACCAGATGAGAGATTTGAAAGCCAAATTTGAGGAAAACCAGAGAAATATGAATGAGATGCTGATACAAAAATCTCAGCTCCAGACAGAATCAGGTAAGGAAGGCACAAAGATCTGCTGAGGGGGTATTTTTTTCCCCTCAGTTGTAGAGAGACCCTTTATTGTGTACCATGAGTAAGACCTAATTGTTCCTACGTGCATATTCTACTTCTGGAGTCATTAGTACAGGCACAGACAACATTAGAAACAAATGAAAGGAAATGAGTTAATGAGTGACACTTTAAAGTTCACGTGCCAATTGCAAGCATTATTTGCTAAGGTAAATAATTCCCAGAATGATGTGACATTGCTCACTGATTCCATGCAGTGGGATGAGGAATTTGAGACAGTCCCAAATGATTTGAGCAACTTGTTAGAACTGCACTTTCTCCTCCAAGTGTGCACATATCCACTGTATGTACAGTATGTTTGTGCTGCTGCCCTCGTGGTGCTTGGTACTGCTTCCACGCGGACTTCTTGTAAGATTGAGGGTGAAAGCTCCTTGATCTGGTTGACTGCAAGTTCAGACATCTCAAATTAAAATGCCACTGAATTGGCTTCAACTAACCTTCTGAACTATAGGGATTTTACACAATAGCAGATCAGGGAGTGCTGACATAGTCTCGCAGCTGATCCATAGGGCAACACCTGCCATGAAAACACTTAAAAAGTGGTTTATATGAATTTATGTGAACGAACTCTACAGGCACATCTGTATGTGGATGGAGATATAGTTACAAGGAAACAGAAGACCAAAGAGGGCATAGCATGTGAAAGTCTCCCAATATCTGGTAATCTCCGGAAGACAAGAAGTGCCAAGGCTTGCCAAATCAGCCCAAGGCTGCTGGCAAACACCAGCTTCAACAGTGGGTTGTATGACTGGGACCACATCCAAGAGGGCGGTGGCTGCTATATGCAAAGACTACAGGATTATACACACCCCCTGATGAAAACAGGAGCCTCTGAGGATGGGGTTGGCCTTCCAGGCATCGCTGCTACTAGGGAGATATGTGTGGGGGTGTGTGGGGGTGAGCTGCGAAGAAATACGTGAATGTGTTAAGTTCAGAGTTGCCTAGCATTAATATTAGCAGCCTGAGGCTAGTAACTGTAGCAACTTAACTGGTAAAATGTTATATAAATACTGGTTGTGATCTGTGACTCCCCTATCTCCATCCCTTATCAGGGAAAAGGGAATTTACAACACCTTTTGATGGAGTACCACACACGTGGGGAGACGTAGACCATAACCAAATTCTTTCTTCTTTTCTTTTGAGTCATCCCTTTTAAGTGATCATGCTTGCAAGAGGATTCTATAAATCTGACCAGTTTGTTATAATGTCATTGTGTGCAGTGCTCAAGGGGAATCTTAGAATGAAATTGAAAGCTTGAGAAAAAATTAAAATGGCTCAGGAAAAGTCTGAAGGAGGGCTACAAGAAGACCCAAGAATTCTAGAGATGACAGCATGGACTATAGGCACCTCTCCAAGAAAGGAGAGAGGTGTTACTTCAGCCCACAGGACAGAGGATGACGTAGAACAAAAGTTTTCCAGTTATTGTAAAGCTTATGAAATAAAACTTTAGGATATACCTGAAACAAATAGAGAAAGGAAAGGTCAAGTAAACATTGATAGCAGGGGTAGGAAAGCTAAAGAAATTACTAAACCTGTCCAAAATGTTGGAGCATATTTAAGTGTTTAGTTGAAGATACAGTCAAGTGGAATGGGAAGAAACCACAGAATAAACTTGAAAGAGTGATACGACTTAAAGAGAAACATCTTGACCTGGAGACAGGGTTGCCAGTTCCCATAACATTCTTTTAAAAAAGATTGTGGGTACAGAAGAAATTTAGAATTTATAACAAACAAGAAAAGAAGGAGAATGGAAAGTTTGAAACTAAGAAAATAAGTGCTATGCACTTGTGTAGTTAAAGCTGAGAGAATTGTGGGTTAAGCATGTGGATATGGAAGTCTGAATGAACAGTAAACCTTATGATTAAAACAAAATAGGACTAACATTCAAGGAGATAGAATAGATAAATGTAGGAGGAGACATGCTGTCTCATAATTTCATTACTAAACCCTGCATTACACTAAGAGTAAAGATGACATGGTAAAAAATACATGTAAAGAGAATGGTAAAATAAGAATAGTAGAAGTATATAAATAAAGGTAACAACTGATAATGTAAACAACGTTGTGTGGTTCCACTTGTCTGTTACTGATTATTATTTAATTATTTTTTAAGCATTTCAGGACGCTTAGTCGGGACAGTACTGGAAACATATCTTCTCTTATCACAGGTGAACTAAGCCGTCAACTTGAGGAGAAAGAAGCCATCGCATTGCAGCTGACCAGAAACAAGCAGGCAGTTACACAGCAAATAGAAGAACTGAAAAGGCAGCTGGAGGAAGAGATCAAGGTAGGGCTAACCTACTGTTTAAGTGCTTTGCTAAGGAGGTCTCTGACATGTTAAAAGTGGTTTCACTTTCGGTTAAATTTTTCACATGGTTTTTAACTTTAAAACGATGGTCTATGTGATTTGTTTTGCTTTTGTAGCCTCAGGGAAGAAAAGCTACAGCATAGGTGGGAGCATCGCTCTTGGTCTTTTCTAGTGTTAGAGCTGAGAAAAGTTGGTTGCAGCTGAAGACTGCTGCCTGAACACATGTAAACCTCTAGGCCTTGTCTTCTGCCCAACCTGCACTGACCATGTTTTTAGTGTGCAAGGTCATGGGGTCACCTGCTGGTCACAGATAACATAAATCCTTTATATTATGGGTAATTTTTAGGCCAAGAACGCCCTGGCCCACGCCTTGCAGTCTGCTCGCCACGACTGTGACTTGCTCCGGGAACAATATGAGGAGGAGCAGGAGGCCAAGGGGGAGCTGCAGCGTGCCCTGTCCAAGGCCAACAGCGAAGTGGCCCAGTGGAGAACCAAATATGAGATGGATGCTATTCAGCGCACGGAGGAGCTGGAGGAGGCCAAGTAAGTGATAGATAGAATGAACTGTCCAGATGTTATGTATATTGTGCAGAATATAGACCTACTTTCAGTAGCCAGACCTAAATTATTTTATTGGAGTTTGCCTATACACTTAATTTAAAAAAAAACAACTTCCAATATTGTACTCGTTCAATTATGTACAAAATGCACTGATTTTTTAAATCATATGCTTATTTCTTAAGGAAAAAACTCTCTCAGCGTCTCCAGGAGGCAGGGCAGCAGGCAGAGAGTGTGAATTCAAAGTGTGTCTCCTTGGAGAAGGTGAAATTGAAGTTGCAGAGGGATGTGGAGGATCTGACAGCGGAGAAAGAAAGAGCAAATACATTGGCAGCTGCCCTTGACAAGAAACAGCAGAACTTTGATAAGGTGATGAATGAGCACAGTATTTTTTGTCTAGCCTTCCTAGAAGGCCAAACTAATACTCCTTACTTAAGTCAATGTAGAAATCAGGTTGAGTCTAACAGTTATAACTCCTCCAGAGCATGACAATGGGAATTTGTCCTGTTTTCAGAGACTGCAGGATTTATCTAGTACAGAAAATAGCCACAAATAAAATAACATTTTCAGTACTAGCAGGGAACAAAACACGATGTCTTTCAGGTTGTGACAGAATGGAAAGGCAAGTACGAGGAGAGCCAGCTGGAACGGGAAGCTCTCTCTAAAGAAACACGCTTGCTGAACACAGAGCTTTTCCAATTGAAAAATGTCTATGAGGAAACCTTAGCTCAGCTTGAAACAATCAAACGGGAAAACAAGACTCTCAAGCGTAAGTGTTTGGCTCTGATTCCCCATTAGCTGTTTGCAGTCCACAGCAAGGAGAAGCATGCTCACGTCTGCACAAGCTACACAAAATTACAAGTCTGTCATTTCTATTCTCTCCATTTTAATGGAGAATATAAATGTCTCAGCAGAAGTTGTTGAGCAAGTTTGTAAAGTGACTAAGGTAATAAAGCAGATGTCCTGGCTCTCCATTATCTGCTGCAGAGATTTAAGATTGAGGGCATTTAGGCGCCACTCCCAGGTAAAGGTGGTGCCCTCAAAAGGCTGTACAGCATGTGGAGATGCACTGTGACCATATAATGACAAGACCTATAGTGTTACTCTGGTGGCGGGTCCAGAGACATAAGCAATTGCAGGTATCTTACAGGCTCTCTGTAAGAAAGGCTATGAAACCACACTGATGCCCCTGTGTTTGTCATCCTGCATGAGCTGGCTCTACCTGTTATTATCTGTACGTAGATACATATACACATATACAACTATGTACACATGTACATATGTGTATATATATGTATATATACAAAAGAGGTGTTGGACACAGTCACAAAGCACAGAGTTCAGCTTCTCTGGCTACCCCAGGCTGATGCTGCTCTTATCTCACAGAGGAAATAGCTGATTTGACTGAACAAATTACTGAAAATGGCAAAATGATCAGAGACCTTGAGAAAGCCAAGAAGCAGGAAGAAGCAGAAAAATCTGAGCTGCGGTTAGCTCTTGAGGAGGCAGAGGTGAGTTAATTTAAATATTAGTGGCAAAAGTAGAGAGCAGTCTGCATGCTGCCTATTCTCTCTCCTGGGTAGTGGCTGTGTGCAAGGCTGATTGCCACAAACTTAAGGAGCTTGTGTGAAGTCACTGAGTAACATCACAATTACTTTCACTGAAATGTTACTTCTGTGGGTTTTGTTCCGGTTTTTCTTTTAAAGGCAGCTCTTGAGCATGAAGAAGCCAAAATCCTTGGTGTCAACCGAGAACTGACTCAGATTAAATCAGAAATCAACAGAAAGATTGCTGAGAAAGATGAGGAGATCAGTCAGTTAAAAAAGAACCATCAAATGACTGTGGAGACAATGCAGGGCGTTTTGGATGCTGAGATCAGGAGCAAAAGTGAATCCTTGAGACTGAAAAAGAAGATGGAGGGAGACCTGAATGAAATGGAGATCCAGCTGAGCCATGCCAACCGCCAGACTGCCGAGGCGCAGAAACACCTGCACAGCATCCAGGGTGTTCTCAAGGTCTTGATTTACCTTTCTAGTTGATTTGGTTTTAAGCAAAGTATCCAAGAAATTTATTGGGATAAAATTGGCTCTTCATACTTAGGACACGCAGCTGCACTTGGACGATGCTCTCAGGACACAGGAGGACCTGAAGGAGCAGGTGGCCATGGTGGAGCGCAGAGCAAACCTGCTGCAGGCTGAAGTTGAGGAGCTGCGGGCAGCCCTGGAGCAGACGGAGCGCTCGAGGAAGGTGGCTGAGCAGGAGCTTCTGGATGCCACTGAACGTGTGCAGCTCCTCCACACCCAGGTCAGGCTTGGTACCAAAAGCAGTTGTGTTGACACTCAGCAAACACGGAGAGCTGGTCTGTACCAGAGGATAGGTACACGCGCAGGTAGTTTCCTTTACTGACAGACATATTTTTGGGTCCTGAGATTCAGAGAGTATGACCAAATAGCAATTCATTGTCTCTATGTGTAAGAGACCAAAGACAGGCACTCAAAGCCTCTCTTTCTCCTTTACAGAACACCAGCCTTTTGAATACCAAGAAGAAGCTTGAAACTGATATGGCACAAATCCAAACTGAGATGGAAGATATTATGAATGAAGCGAAAAATGCTGAGGAAAGAGCTAAGAAGGCAATTACAAATGTGAGGATGTTACTCTGCTTTTCTCTTTGAATTTTCAGGGCTTCCCCATGGCATTGCTGCTCGGAGTTAATGTAAATATTCTTGTCACAATGCAGACAAAGAACCAGTCTGTGGGCTTGGTTGAAGAGGCCACGTGTCAGAGGAGGATTAGAGCAACAGGGATATTGTCCTGCTGACAGATGAATTACTGGGGCTGTTGTCATCACAATGAACAAACCCACATTTAGTCAGTCTAAAACAAGTAACTTTCTCCAGTGCTGCATGAAAATGTAAACCACAAAAAATCCTGCAATATTGAAACCAGTAAAGTATCTAATCAATTTAAATATTTATCTTTTCAAAATCCCATTTAAGAAATTTTTAATTGAGAATTGTGAGTTTCCATTCAAAATTGGTGCTATATCCTCCTGTGCATGGTCAGTGAAGCTCAGCCAGGCAGTAGGGCTGCTCTATTAGGCGACCCAACCTGCTAATGATTTTTTGATGCATAGGATCAAAACAAAATCTTAAAACTTAAAAACATTATTTGGAGTTAAAATAGAAGGAAAACGTACCCACTTGCTCATGAAAATGAAAAGAAAATATTAAATAATTTCTATTCTGTTTTAATAAAACAGAAATAGAGCATTACAATGAATTATACACAGACACACATATTTTTATATATTTATAAAATTTCTAATGCCATTATTTTATTCTCACATTTTTTCAATTTAGGCTTTTTCAGGTATTTTGCTGCCAAAGCTATTTGTTGAATTTTACACTATTTGTAAGTAATGTCACTCAATATTTCACCAAAATGCTCAATTTGATTTTGTGGGAATCAAATGTTTGAGACCGAAACATATTCTAGTTTTGTCTTAAATACTATAGATTGTTTTAAACTGTACTCTGCTTTGTAACGCTGGCCAGCCGGGCTATTGTGGAGGTAATGGGGTGCCCTGAGGAGCAGTGTGGAGACTGGCACGCTCCGTGTGTGTTACGCAGATGCACCCTGCTGCCCAGCTTTGCTGTGGCTCCTGCTCTGCCCCACGGCACCTGGTGCCAATGAAGGTCACAGGAGTGACCACACAGCGGGACACAGTGTTTATGCTTTCTGTCATTCCAAGCTCCATGTGTGCAGCAAGAAACAAAAGATTTGTTTCCCATCCTTTTTCCTTCTATTTCCTATCATGTTCCTGCCACTATCACATGTCCCAGGAAAAAACAAAGCAGGAAATGCAGTGGCAGGAATGGCCAGCAGGAACCAGGGATGAATCTTCAGATGGTGCCCAGCATGCACTGTTCTTTCACATAGTTCCAGTTTCTTGTATCATCTCCCTTCCAAGGCAGCCATGATGGCAGAAGAGCTGAAGAAGGAGCAGGACACCAGTGCCCACCTGGAGAGGATAAAGAAGAACCTGGACCAGACAGTGAAGAATCTGCAACACCGTCTGGATGAGGCCGAGCAGTTGGCACTAAAGGGAGGCAAGAAACAGCTCTTGAAGGTGGAAGCCAGGGTGGGTACTGGCACTGAACACGAGTGTCAAAGATACCTTTCTTCTCTGAGTTCTCTGTGAGGGCTCAAGCCAACTGATGATTGATTCACCAGATCAGAGAATTAGAAGCTGAGCTGGAAGAAGAACGTAAACAATCCGCAGAGGCTATGAAAGCCATCCGCAAATATGAACGGCGTGTCAAAGAGCTTACTTTTCAGGTGGGTATAAATAGAAAGCAATTCTCCTGATGTTTTGTCTCCCAGGAACGTGTAATTACACATTCCTTTTCCACAGAATGAAGAACACAGGAAGAACATGATGAAATTACAAGATCTGGTAGATAAACTGCAGATGAAAATCAAATCCTACAAAAGACAAGCTGAGGAAGCTGTGAGTCACTCAACTGAAGCAAATACTTATTTGCCATTTTCTAGGACTGTCAGTTTAAAACTTGTCTCTGTGCACCAGTGTGTTTCCAGGCAGTTTTTAGTTCCTTTTGTTTTGCCATTTCAGGATGAACAAGCCAATACTAATCTCTCCAAATTCAGAAAAGCACAGCATAAGCTAGAAGAGGCTGAGGAAAGGGCAGATATTGCTGAGAGTCAAGTGAACAAGCTCAAAGCTAAAACCCGAGAAGTCCCTTCTACAAAGGTAAGCCTTTATTGCAGAAGGCAGATGTGTTTGTACTGTTTGCTCAAGTAAGTAAAGCAGTAGATTTGTGCCTTGCAGGTGGGTAGAGCCATCATTTAGAAAGGACAGTTCTAGAAGGAAGGGATTTTGGAGAAAGGGTTGGGATTCTCCAGCCTGTAGAAGAAATGGCTCTGAGCAGAGCCTGTCAATATATATTCTGGCATATTCTGGCCTTTCAATATATAAAAGGGGCTTATAAGAAAGACAGAGAAAGACTTTTTACCAGGGCCTGTAGGGACAGGACAAAGGGCAATGGTTTTAAATTGAAAGAGGGTGGGTTTAGGTTGGACATAAGGAATAAATATTTTCTGATGAGACACTGTAACAGGTTGCCCAGATAAGTTGTGTATACCCCATCACTGAAAGTGTCCAAGCTCAGGTTGGACAGGACTTCAGAAAACCTGATCAAGTAAAAGCTATCCATGTCCATGGCAAGGGTTTTGGACTAGATGATCTTTGAAGGTCCCTTCCAGCTCAAACTGTTCGGTGATTCTATGACTGGTATTTCAGGTTTTGGTGCCAAGCATGAGCCTTCTGGCTAGTTTCATCACATTAGTTTCAGATTTAAGAAACTGCCTCTAAAAGTGAAAGAATGAGAGCTAGTCTGACTCTGAACATACCTAAAGGAAACTTCCTGGGAGTCTTAGGCAGAATTAAAGTTCTGGTTGAGAAATATGCAGCAGCATTGTGTCCTTAGCTGAACTTCCCAGGCAGTTGTCTATTTCCAAGTCAAGACTGTTTGGTAAAAGATCTAGAGCCTAATTTTCCTAATGTGATCTGAGCAGGTGGAACACCTTTTGACTGTACTAATCTAGCTCAGTTTGTGGTTGGAGGTAAAATACCCTCAGTCCACATTTTGAAAAAATTACTAGTGCCTAAAGCACGTATGTAGGACATGGAGAGCCTTGGCTCCAGGCTGCCTTCTGCTTACCCACAGCATCCTCTTAATCATACAGCATTTTAACTCTAGAAGAGACACTACGGAGAACATGCTTTCTCCTGAAGGCTCGGGCCTGAGACTCAATAGACAATGTTGGTTCTGCCAGAGGCTGGTGAGCAACTTTCAATGAGTCCCTTAATGCCATGGTCCAATAAAAAGCTTTGACTCCTCAGTGCTTGTCAGAGTATCTTGCCGAGACCCTAGGGGAAGAACGTGGAAGGCTGGGTCCAAGCAACATCTCTAGACATGAGATTACCTTAGAGAAGGAACGCTGAATCTTGAATTGAAAGCCTGGACAGGGAAAACATTTCAGATATCTCCTATTTAATATCCCCAGGTAAAGGCAGGTTGAACATACGAACTACGGGAAACTCATTCAGCAATATGTTAAGGTTTTAGATCTTGCTTTGAGGTGCCTGATACTGTGCAGTGTATATGGAGCCCGCGTACCTGGGACAAGTGATGGATTCTGCTCTGAGAGGCCTAAAATTAAACATTGTAATGCCTGAATATTTAAATAGATACAATGGATCAGTGCATCCTTTTGCTCCCTTCCATGCTTTACATTCACTTTTGGGAATACTGGGATACTCCTTGGCCCAGAGTATGGAGTGTGGGTTGTTTAAACACTGCAACAGCGAAGTAGCACTTCAGAAAAGCCAACAGATATGTTTCCAGAAATGTGACCATGTGGCCAAGAAGGCCAATGGCATCACAAAAAAGCGTGACCAACAGGTCAAGGGAGGTCATCCTTCCCCTCTGCTCTGTCCTGGTGCGGCTGCATTTGGAGTCTTGTGTCCAGTTCTGGGCTCCCCAGTTCAAGAAGGACAGGAAACTGCTGGAGAGGGTACAGCAGAGGGCTACAAAGATGATTAGGGGCCTGGAACATCTCTCTTATGAGAAAAAGCTGAAGCACTTGGGTCTTTTTAGTCTGTAGAAGAGAGGACTGAGGGGGGACCTGACCAATGCTTATAAATAATGGTGGGTGTCAGAAGGATGGGGCCAGTCTTTTTTCAGTGGAGCCCAGGGAATCATTCTATGATTCTAAGATAAAATGAGCACAAACTTGAATATAAGAAGTTCCATCTAAACATGGGGAGGAACTTCTTTCCTGTGAGGGTGGCAGAGCCCTGGCAGAGGCTGCCCAGCGAGGTGGTGGAGTCTCCTTCTCTGGAGACATTCAAAATCTGCCTGGACACATTTCTGTGCAACCTGCTCTGGGTGGACCTGCTCTGGCTGGGGGGGGAGGACTAGATAATCTCCAGAGGTCCCTTCCAACCCCTTGTGGGTTGATTCTCCATTTCAACCTATTGGTCCGAGATCGTAACGTTTGATGATGTGTCTTAAGGGCTACAGACACTGCTACCTGGGCTCTGCTTGGCACATCCTAGCTGGATGTTTCATTGAGGCAGATGATTCTAGGGACCAGAAGACTCATCTTGATATGTGTGGATTAAAAAAAGCCTCTCCTTTCCAGGTGGTGTTATGAAGTAAAAAATGAGCTTCCTCTGGGATAACCAGTACTTATGCCAAGTATCTGTCCAGCTGCAGATTTGCAGCAGCTGGAGCTACACTGGTAGCAAGTAGTCTTTCATTTGCTTATGGACATAAACATTTTCTGTCAACTCTGCTGGTGTACCAGTGTCAATAAAGCAGATATCTGCAACTTCAGATGCTCCAAATGTTGATGTTCAAATGAGTAATTTTCTTTCTAAGTTAACCATAGCCAAAACTGTGGGTTCAATTCTTATTGCTGCTATGATTATGTTTGAGCAATTTTGTCATGACTTAAAATCTAGGTGTTTGACAGCTTTCCTCCATATTTTCTGCTTGAAAGCAGATACCATGACCTTGTTAAATGAAGCTGAGAATAAACTACTGTATGAGCAGATGTGCTATGTCAAACATGCAATATGAACAAAATTGCAGCATTCATGCTTAGTTTCACTGCTGTATCTCTGCATGGAAGAACAAGACTGGTCCAGCCTGTAAGCCCACAGCCATCTGTGTGCATTACAAATCAAGTATTTCTAATTTCCTTGTAGTCAAACAGCACTTCAGAGTGTTGGTTCACTTCTGAGCTCCAGTGTTGCAGCTCTGAGCAGATGAGGACTCAAACTTTGGTGTCTCACATACTTGTTACATTGGAAATAGTTATCAAATGGTCTGCAATGTTAGCAGGAAAATCTGAATAGCTTCTTGAAGGTTATCTCCCCAATGACACTGGGCACCATAATTCTGCTTGGTATTTCCCAAAGAGAAATACTTGTTCAGCCACTTTGTGGTGTTTATGTGGTATAGTTGAAACTTCAGGATCTCAGGTAGAGAGAAAACCCAGATACTTTGACACTGGTGAAGGCTGCTGAGGAGACATACCTGGCAGCACAGTAAGGGCTACAGAGTGAATAGGTTACCATTGTGCAGAGAGGACAAATTTGTACACAGCACTGGACAGTGAGTCAAATAGGATGCTGACAGTGTTGGGAAGTTCCAGCTGACTGCTCCATCTCTGTGTGCCAAGGAAAGGTATATCCAAATGGATCACCTTACCTGGCTCCAGGACACAGCCACATCAGCACTCAGAAAGCAGCCTGGCGTGCTTCTGCTGTCAGTAACAAGGATGGGAGAGGAGAAACCCAAGATGTTCTGTGACTCCTGTGTTAAAAAGGGATGGGCATCACCTCTTATTCAGTTTTCAACTATGAAGCTGTTAATAAAACCAAAAGACACCTGTCCCTCCCATGACACTTTTGAAGGTTTCACCATGGCTCCATATTAGACCTCCAATTTTTTCCATTCCTCCTCATTCAGTGCATTCATGCTCCTTGGCAAAGAGTCAGGATGGCCCTACCGTCATGGTCAATGTCTCTGCCTAATCTTTACTGGTCCAACATTGCCTGTGTATGGGCTGCTCCTGTTTGGTGGCAGACCTATTTCTTCCATTACCAGAAAATAATCAGGAGCCTTACTCATTTGACTGCCACTGCACCAGATCAACAGTTCACTCATATGTAGCAATTTGCCATGCCCCTCTGTACTGAGCTCCTACATGCCAGACACATCTGGCTCACCTGACCTGGGAGCTGTACTTCACTATGAAGAAAGGGAGGTAGAGCTGTGCTATAGATGGGACCTGCTGATGAACATCACCTTGTCCAAATGAACAGTGCCCACTGGCAACCTGTTAGTAAATCACTTCCTTGCATTAGATAACCTGGAGATTTGCATCCCTGGTTCAGTCTGCATGAATTTCAAATGGTTTCTCAGTTTGAGAGCAAAAACCTTGAGAGTTCTGTGCCAGAGGTACCACCTAGGAACCACTGCAAAAACTAAGGTCGTGTGGCATGGCTTCCCAGGTTGCCAAAGACATTGTCATGCCTGCAGAGCTCAGCAAAGCCAACTGACAGAGCAGTCCATCAATCCATCATTGTTTGGACTCCAGGAGATGGAAGGCCTCTAACATTTCTGTGCTTCCACATATTACAGAACAGTTGAAGTTGGAAGGCATCTCTGGAGGCCATCAGGTCCCTCCCAGCCACCCCTGACATCACTCCCCTCTAGCCCCCATGGAAACACAACGTACACACACCTTAGAAAGTGTCTGATTTTTCATTTGTTCTAGCAAAAGCTTATAGCAACGTATTTTCTAACATAGATGTTTCTCTTGTCACTGACAGTTCTCCCTGTCACCTGTGCACTTCTGATATTCACAAACACAAGCTCAGTTTGATCTCTTTAGCTGCTCTCTAAGATGGGGCTCACAGGACCCTGCCCATTGTTTCTTCCTTTATGTGGCTGCCAATGAACTTGTGCTCACTGACTGGATTGACTGGTGCTGCAAGTGGGCTCCCAAAGTGTGGGAGTGGGTTTCTTAATCATTGGGATGGTGTCTGCAGTGCTTCTATGTGTTTTCTAACTTCTGACCTCCTAACTCTGTGGTGGCATGTACAGTTTCTCATAGCTTCACACAGTACTTTAGTAGTGCCACAAAGAGGAGTCTCTCAGGGATTCCTTGCTAAATCTAGTTACTCCTGCTGAAGTTGCCAGAATGTACTACATAGCACCCCTTTTTAGGTAGTTTAGTCAGTCCACTGGTGAATTTATTTTTTCCAGTTGCAAGATTTAGAGCATCTGTTATTGGGTAGGAAGTCTCTCAGTTACACACCATTTCCTTGGCATCACCTTGGCATCATCCCATGGCATTACGGGATTGAGGCTGAGATCATTAAAGTTGAGTGTCTCATTTTTATCTCCTGCATTCAGCCACATTTTCTTGTACCCATTGTCAAATCCATGCTTCAGGACACTCTGATGAGTTGCCATGTTTCTGAGTTAGGAAGTCTGTGCAAGCAAATGAGGATGTAAGTCCCACCTTTTGTTACTGAATACAGAAGACTTATACGTGAACATGGAGATATGGAATGCTCTTTTTGCCATGTACTGGTATCCAAAAAAAGTGAGTGTCATTTATATATGAAACACAGTCTAAAATACACAGGAATTTTCGTCTTCTGAGTGGGTTTAATCTACAAGTCTAGTTTAGCAATGACATCTCATTTTGAGGGTCCAAACTATGAATCCACCCTCATACCCAGTTATTTCTCTAAACCCACTGAGACCATCATGTTTAGTGCTTTGGTTACTATTCTTAAACCTTCACAACTGTTCATCATGAATGAGTCAAATGCCGAGGTGCTATAAAGCCTGTGGCACTTCCTTGCTTGTGTCCTCATGCCAGAGAGCTTGCAACCAACTCTGCTGTCATCCGTCAAGTCATTCGTTCTGTCCCAAAACCTGGGAAGCAGATCATCTGCCAACACCAGTACAGGGACTCTGTTTTGCCCAGATAATTAACTGCTGCCCTCAGATTCCTGGTCTGAGATAAACAGAACTGTTGCTAGGTTGAGCAGGGTCTGGGATTACCAGTTTCTTCTCTCACCTTGTTCTCCAGAGGTCTGTGAACTACTGCCATAGTTACAAATGGGTTTTCCCATTTCCTTGTGTGTCTTTGACGATGATTGTCATGCATTGTCCCAAGCTTTCCTATCACTCTGGCGAAAAAAAACCCTCATGAGATACTGTGTTGATGAGCTGCAAGATCTTCAACTTGTCTGAGAAACCTGGAACTTTGATAAACCTTCTCAGTGAGTGTAGCCCGCAGTTTCCTCAAAAACTGTCCCAACATCATGATATTTTCAAGAGGGGGTCTCTGTCCACTGTTACGGACCTGTGATTTGGGGAAATCAGAATTGAACAGTAGTTTTTCACATCAGTTGGGACAGATCTGGATGTGTTGCTCTTTTGCTCTCCCAAGGGAAGACTTCTATTTCATTTCCTGCTGCCTTTAAGAGGTGCTTTCCCAGGAGAGGTGCTTTTCCCAGGAGACTGCCTGCATGTCATTCTCAGCAGCTCACTGTGCGCCGCTGTGCTTCTGGATGCAACCGAAAGTCCTGCTTTGCTTTTAGGTCACATCACTGAGCCTAACCTACAGTGTAAAATGGCTGGTCACATAGTACAATAATCCACTTCAGTCCCTGGGGAATGAGGATCTGCAGGGATGAGGCTTGAGCAGGGTAATCACTAACCTCATCCCACTAGCTCCTTTCTGCTGGCAGTGGAGCTCTTTCCAATTTCAAGAACGGGAATTCACTTTCTTTTGGTTAGTGCTTTGGCTCTGACTCACTTCCAGGTTGGATGAACGGCAGGTGAGGGAGCCTGGCTTTCCCACCTGGTGGCCTTGAGTCCTTAGGTTGACCATATCTGGAGACCATTGTGCCTGCATTGGCATAAAATGCCATGTGTGTAGATTGGTCTGGAGAGTTTGGAGTTGAGGATACTGAGAGCATGACTACAGAA